CGGCCGCCCAGCTGATGAACAGCGATCTGTGCCGGAGACGGACCGTAAACATACCGTTTAGCTTTGAATAATAACACCCCGTTTCGTGAATTTGAACTTGATTCATGTGGCAATAAAAATGTATAAGTAAAAATATGTTATTCAAATAAATTTCAAATTCACGGAAGTATTTCTACGGTACGACGGATCGATGTGTAAAGAGTAACATTTAGAAGCTTCTTTCATAGGCCTACAAGCTGACATACCACCAATATAGTACGTAAATAGGTACTAGGGTCCATTCCGAGACTCGAGTTTCAAAATTTAGAGGCTCGTGTTTTTTTTTCGTGGACTCGAGACTATCTAGACTGATCCATCATTCAGTCCTCGCGTAGATACCTACTCAATTTATAAACCTAAAAGATTAGCATGAAATAAAATGTTATATGTAAATATGCATTTATTAAACAGTTTAATATGTACTTATATTCAGAATATACAATACAATTACAATAATAAAAAAAAATCCGTAAAAAAAAAAAGACAAAAAAGAGGCTTCAACAAATTACGCGACACGCAATATTCATACGTAAGTACCCACTACAAATATCATATTACCGTTATAACAAAAAGTAATGCTTCCTAAACAAAAATAAACTCTCATCATAAATAACTAGGTAGATATGTAAAACACTACACGAGAGCGCGTCATTACTATGGTAATAATAAGAGATTTTTTTTTATTACAATATTTTAAAAGCACAGAATAAATAATAGTAGTACAGACTAAAAGTAAGTAGTATCAATATTTTTTGTCATGGGTGACATTTTCATGGTTTTCGAGGGTGTTGAAGCCGATAGTGCTGTCGAAATTTAAATCCAAGACGGCGGCTGCAATGGGTATTGATTTGTTCATCATGGGTGTCATTTTCATGGTTTTCGAGGGTGCTGAAGCCGATAGTGCTGTCGAAATGTAAATCCAAGGTGGCGGCTGCAATAGGTATAAATTTTTTCATCATGGGTGTCATTTTCATGGGTTTCGAGGGTGTTGAAGCCGATAGTGCTGTCGAAATGTAAATCCAAGATGGCGGCTGAATTAGGTATAAATTTTTTCATCATGGGTGTCATTTTCATTGGTTTTCGAGGGTGTTGAAGCCGATAGTGCTGTCGAAATGTATTTAAACTACTTTAAAAAATTCCGTATAATCATATATATGTTAATCATATATAATCATGTTATACGTAAATTTTTTAATGCGCTTAAGGCATGCCCAACTGGATTTACCAATTTATTTTACATATTATTGAAATGTACAATGGATTGCTTACATTGTTGTATATCTGTCATGTCGTAATTGTCGGTTCTTTCCTGCGTTTTTGGGACCTTGGCAAAATGAGAATTTATTGAATTATGTTTTCTTTTCTTGGGTTTTTCTTTGATTGTGGTCGGAGGACTTATTTTTCTCAAGGGCATATTACGTGTTTTTCGCGGATCCAACAATTCCGGCAGTAAAGATTCTAAGTAAAATGTTTTTAGTTTGGGAACCATATGATCATTCCACAGTCTTTGGTCGCATTGTATTATTTCTGTTTTTATCTGTTGATTTGAACTAACCCACACGGCAAAAAGACACTCTCTCCTTCCTGTAATATTTAACTGTCCTTGCACTTGGAAATACCAGTGATGTTTCTTATTGATCAACATTTGGCCATTATCATACTTCCAGAAAGTAATTTTCCTGTTTTTCACAGCATCTTCCAAGCTAGTTCTGTAGCCTGATACTGGACATTTTATTTCTACAATCCTATTGTCATCTATCACACCGTCAGGAGTTGCTCCTAAAAATGGATGGTTTTTATCGATGAATAGCCCACAGGGCATAATTTTAATGTTTTCTTGCTGCTCTAGTTGATTCAAAGCAATTTTTTCATTAATTTTACCATGTTTGATGGAGGTAACACCAGAGAGATCTTTTTGATACAGTAAACTTTTAACTATACTACCTGACGTCGTGCTCCTCTTGTTTATAATTTTGCCGAAATTGGAAGCCGTTAACAAATTCCTTCGTATTTCCATCCATTTACTACAATCACTCTGGAGGACTGTTTCCCTTTCAATATTAATTCTTTCTTCGTCAGATTTCTCCAAATTTGTTAAAAATGTTTTTTTCATTCTTTCTAAATCTTCTGTATGCAAATCAGGCTTCATACAATTTTGACCGTAATTTTCATCTTCAGCCCTTTTCTCTTTCTGTTGATAAACAAGCTTTCTGGGTTGCATTTTAGGCTTGGAACCGTTTCTTTTTAGTTTTCGCAATTCCAGGTATTTTGATTTTGACATTGGGCTCACACCAAGAATAGATCTTTGGAGCTTATACAAAGGTCTTTTTGTATTAAATGATACGACTGCCGTAGCGCATCTGGTCTGATATGAACGCCGAAGACAAAAGTTTATGCGTTTACCACCGATACACTTTGCAATTATGGCGTTAAACTGTTCACAACGATTGCTGTCCACGTCTTCAATAAGACTTCGTGCATTAGCTGCAATAGAGCAGACTATAAACTTTATTTGATTTTCTAACGCCGTATCTTTCAGTTTGACAGTGACATCTTCACTTGTTTTTTTGCTTTCGCAATAAAAATTCTGACAATTGGTATGACAACCGAAAGCATGATTATATGAATTGGAAATTGCTACATAAAGATCGTTTATTTGTTTTGAGCGGGTATCACTTGTTTTCTTTAGGTGTTTTATTGAAGAACAAATAACTTTTCTGATAGCCAGGATTCTTTGTGTATTCAGATACCTTCTATGCTGCAGTTTATATTTGGTATCTTTGGTAAGCGCTTGTAATTTATTACACAGGTTTCGTAATAAATGGTTTCTACACTCTATCTTTTCAACAGTGTAGTTAGGATATGGCCGGGCTGCTAAAATTTTAGAATAAGTGGAAGCGTCTCCATCAGCAACCATTTTGCCGTATATAAGACCATACATGTGCAAAGATTGTTTGAATCCTTCCACTAATATTTCCGATTCCATGTTTGTAGATGAACCAGTGTAATTTTTAAAACACATGTGCTCTGATGGTGTAGTTTGTTTATTCTTGGCGCGTACACATATGCAACAATATTTATTTTTTACGGCGAGATATAGCACTTCCCCAAACTTTTTACCTATGATTGCAGCAGCGCCTGATAACGAGGAATAGTTTTTCTTGTAGGTCCTCTTAGCCCAGCAACCATCAACGATCACGTCTATGACGGGGATTCCATCTGAATTGACTCTGCCTTCGTCCAATGCACTTTGCTTCTCACGAGCAGCCGCAGCTTCCATTTCAATTGTGGCTAACTTTTCCCATTCTTCACTAACTCGATTATCAATTTTCTTATAAAAAACTTCTGTCATAAACGGAACATTTATTGATGTAAATATTTCTTGCAATTGTGTATATCCTACACCTGTAATAGCAGCACTCGTTACTACGGCAGTATTTACATTCAAATTGTCGCTTGGACTAGGTTTGGACGTATGTGTAGTAAATTCAACATTACACATATTGCATTTGAATTTTAATTTTGAAATCAAACCTAACCTTTTCTCCCCTATCAACTCCAAATTATTTATACCGCAACCGAAGGCTGTTGAGTGGTTCGAAATTGTTTTTAATTCTTTTAGAAAATATTTAAGGTCTATGATTCTTCTTTCGTCTGATTCTTCATTGATTTCTGCATGATTTCTATCTGACGTGTGCTCTTCGTCTGGAAACCTACAACAGTAATACATATTATTACATAAACTATAAAGCAGACAACAATAATAATGCATGAATGTTTTGAAACAATAGTATATCTTTGAATAGCTCCGATACGTTCCCATGTCCAAATACCTTTCATATAATATGTCACTTTACCTACATTGCTAGCGCTGTAGCATGGTGCGGGGACAGATGTCAGATTATAGTATCAGGACAGACTAGGACAGAGACATTACACAATTAAATTTACATCATCTATACAAATACAAATCTACATCAAAAATCTTGTTTTCTTTATTATAATTTAAAATATATGTGTGATATTATTATCATAATATTATTAAATTTATTTTAAAATATGTATTTCATATAAAAATTAAAAACATATTCAAAGCACAACCGATATTTATGGATATATTAGTGAAAAGGTACAGTTCGTCTAATGTCACTCACACTACACATATATACGCTATATACTATACCTAGTAACTTTTTAAAATTCCAAACCCCCCTCTTCGGTGCCTTTTGCAGTGAAAATAAAAATATTTTTGAACTTTTCTCATTAGCAATAACAGTAGCCAAGCATTTTGTATATAACTGCTCCAAATTTCAAGTCGATAACATTAGTAGTTTCTGAAATATACGGCTGTGACAGACAGACAAAGTCACACCATAGGGGTTTCTTTTTTACCATTTTGGTACAGAACCCTAAAAACGTCGGATCGAGAATATCCTACTCATTTTTGAAGTCAGTAAAAATACGAGTACAATATTATCGATGCATTCATTTGTATTAGGTCTACCTTTGATTCTCATAAACCAAGTCTTCGCATTTAGGTAGGATACGAGTACTTATAGCATTGTAAAATTTTCATTCCAATAATGAAACATGGTTGAAAAGATTGAACCATGTTTCATTAAAATTTACATACATATATACATACATAGCATTACGCCATTATTCCCCGAAAGGGTAGGTAGAGGTGCATAGTGCACCCACATTTCGCCATTTATGTTATAAGTCTCATGTAATAAAGTGCGAGCCTATTGCCACTAATCGAGCACAAATCCAGACTCCGGACTGGTACTGAGAAATTACTAATGGAAAAACCCAATACCATTTTGCCCGACCCAGGACTTCTCGCTCAGCAGTAGCGTTTGCGACCGCTAGACCAACGAGGCAGTTAGAGAAAGAAATACTAACAGGGATTCAAAATTTACTTACTTATTTATTTCATATGTATTTATTTATGTAAATACTTACTTGTCCGTACTGTCAATAGATAGCGACGAGTCCCCTTTTCCCTGTTCCAAATGGCCAGCCGCCGCCGCCGACAACGACGTGGGCACCGCCGGCGCGCCGCTCGAGTCGCTCGCGCCGCGTGCCGATCCGTCTTCGTGCAGTCCATTCTCTAATACCGTGGGCGCCGTTTTATTCGTCACATTCTCAAGCTCAATTAATGAAATGTTTGGTTTTCTGCAAATGTATAGTCATAATAAAATAAAGTAACATACTATTCTCCAGACCAAATTTCGGTCACGGCGGCCTGCCTCAACGGAGATTAGCCATCGACGCAGGATAGCATTATAGTGCGCAAATGTATGCGCAAGCATAGGTGCACTCTCTATTCCCTCACCCTCATAATCCGATGAGACGGTAAACCGACACAACCGGAGAGAGATCAGGTGCAGGACCAACGGCTTTACGTGCATTCCGAGACAAGGAGGTGGGCCACCGCCAACTTCCTGACTCCGGGCAGCTACTGAAAATTTCTTGACGGTATCAGAAACTACGGGTAGTACCTCTCATAATACACCGGTTGATCTTTTATAAATTTCAACTTATTTACAAAAAAAAATTTTGGCCCGACCCGGGATTCGAACCCAGGACCTCATGATCAGCAGTCGCACTACTACAACCACTAGACCAATGAGGCAGTCAAAGTAACATAACATAACCCACAACATTCAAAACCTATCCCTAACCCCACAGTGATACCTATTCCCTGTATCGTGGGTATCAGAAACTACGAGTGGTACCTATCATAACACCCCGATTGATCTTATATAAACATAAACAAACTTATGTAACAATAAAATTACAAAACGTTTTTGCAACACATCAAACGAATTTAAACTTTATCAACAGCCAGCAGCAACGTGACGTGACACTAGACATGAGCTTTATCTCGTTGCAATAAGGTTGAAACTCGAAAAATGATTCGCAAACCGATCCTTCGTGTTCGGCTCTATACATATTCGAAATACCTAAGAAGCTACGTAAACAAAAGAATAATTTGACGGCCTCCGTAGCGCAGTGGCTTAGCAATGAGTTGTTGGGCTGGGGGCCGCGGGTTCGAATTCCGCAGGGAACAAGTATTTATATGGCCTACAAATAATTGTTCCGGGTCAGGGTGCTTGTCCTCGTGCAATTTATGTTTGTAAACTGCCTCCACGATACAGGAGAAAATCCTAGAGTGGGGGTAACGTTTTTTTAAGAAAAAAAAATTAAAAATGAAAATTAAATTGATACCGTTATTTATATCGGTAGTTAGATAGGTACTTACTTTTTTTTTCCTTCGTTCAAAATACGGAGTTGTTCTCTTAGACGTTTTAATTGTTTTCTTTTTCCGAGAGTTTTCTTTTTGCCCATCTTTATTTACACTTTAAATATAGGTAATATATTTACACAAAACGTTTTAAACTCCTTTTTACAGTAACACCTACCACAATACAAAATAAAAATGTCGGAAATAAATAGTCGTCTCTCCGTAATGTCGCCAAACATAGGTTCGTCCCGTAATAGATGCCGCAGCAGAATGATTGAACAAATTGAAAAGGATAGCGCTATTGCTACCACGTACAAAACAAGAGACAGAAAGAGAGTGTGCTCGTTTAGAATTAAATAACGCAAGCGCCAAATCACATAATTGCTAATTACGAGAAGACCACGTAGAAAAATAAAAAAATAAATCGTCACGATTTGAGATAACATTATTATCTATCTATTAGCTAAAAATCATCATTCAATTCCATAAGGTTTCAGAGATCTAACTAAAAATAAGTGCAAAACGAGGGTTTTTCATATTTTTTTTTATCGAGAATTTTTTATCGAATCGTGTTTTTGCTTCAACAGATTTGAAGATTATAAGTCCAGGTTTAATGTGTCCAAATAGCAAACTGTTAGGTCTTACAGATACCGAGATCCAGATTGATCAATATCACCAAAACAGCATTATGCGGCCTCTTAATATGTATATCGCTAAGCACCAGCGCTGTGGTTTTTACAATAGCATAATTCAAAGAATTCCGTTTACGCAATACACGTGTCAGGAATGTAATTGTGAACTTTAAAATATAATACTTTCGTTGAAACCGTCATGTTTTTGTAATTATTTATTTAATAATTTAAAATAAAAGGCACGTATGGTAATTCATAATGATGTGTTAATCCCTACTTTAATGTATGGTAGGGAATGTTGGGTGTGGCAGAAGAAGCACGAAAGTAGAATAAATGCTGTATAAATGCGGTCTTTAAGGAATATGCTAGGGTTGAATCTGAATGACAGGGTGAGAAATTGCGTGATAAGAGATAAATGTGGTATGCAAGATGATGTTGTGACCAGGATAAAGAAAGGAATGCTTCGGTGATTTGGTCATGTAGAAAGAATGAATGAGGAAAGAGTGACAAAGCAAATTTATATGGCAGATGTGAACGGCCGAGTCGGGAAGGGACGCCCTAGGAAAAACGTTTATCGACCAAATTGGCGACATTTTGAGAATGGTCCACATTAGGAGTACCCTTACCGACAAGCGTGTATGCGTAGATATATGGATGTAAAGGAGGCGAGAGAGGTGTGTCAGGATCGTGCCAAACGGAAGTCCGTAGTATCTGCCTACCCCTCTGGGTGACAGGCGTGAGTGTTTATTTATGTAAAATAAATGTTGTGAAACTAATAAAAGTTTTTATCCAAATCAATGAAAATGAAGTTTCACACAAGTTCGCAGGTGTAGATTATATATTTTATCTGCAAATCGAATAAAATATTACGTGGATCACTCCTGGTTTTCCTCTCTATGTTTTCTTGAACTTTCACTACGATCGGTTCAGCCATTCTGAGGGAAAATATAACCTTAAATTGCTTAGCAAGATCCTCTGTTATGCCGAAAATATTGCAGCATTAATTTTGAAATAAATATATGGTAAAGTTGAGGATTAATGTTAAGGACTATGTTAGACGAAAACATGATTCCGTAAAATTTTCTCCATAGAAAAAAAATCCAAAGTTACCTCCAAAATAAACAATAAACCGCTGTTATTCATAAAATACTATAAGATCATGAAACTTTGCATACCAATTGAACTAACTATAAAGCAGTGCTTATGTTATTTACTTTTTTTTAAATACCATTATTTTCACTGTAAAAAGAAATTACCTAAAGTATCGGCTTCTTGAAGCTTGATTCCTGATCCTGCCGCCCGGTCAGTTTCGCTTCGGCCTTTGAAGGGGAAGGTTGTGTCGCTTACGATCAGAATACACATTACGCAACAGGACGACGTAAAATTAAAATGGTAAATAACCGTAATAAAAAAGAGAAGCGACTGGGTTGGCGTTAAGAAACAGGCATAAATATCATAAACCTAATGAAATAAGTGTCTAACAACCTTTCTACTTACAGTATTAGTGATTACAAACATGTCGGTACATAGCATACTACGCGCGGGGAAGTGGGGGCGAAATTAGAATTTGAGCTGACTTACTATATCCTCTTAATAATGTCTTTATGGCATGCAACTAAGCTCTGAGCTCGATAAAAGGCAGTTATTTTGATATCAAAGACTGACACTTGAATTTTATTTTTATGAATATATTAGCCGGTCCTTGTTGATCTGCAATGGTCGAAGCTAAACCATACCTATTTACTTACAGTTAGAATAAAGTAAATTCATCCGGTCCATTTTAGTTTACCTGAAAATGGAAAAGAAAATTATTTTAAATCTTAAAATAAACAAATGAGTTATCATATTACATAAATAAATAATCATATTATTATAATAGCTGGAAAGATTACACCAGCAAAATTAAACCACAATTAGATATGAAATAATTGCTATATTCTTACCAACATTTAGCATTAATTAAATTTTATACGTGGAGCCAAACTACAGTTACATTCTGGTTAGAGCATGAATCGACTCGACCGGGGAAGGGTCACGTTCTCATAGAATATCAACATAAAAGTGTGTGTTTCGTATGGTTTATGGAACCTTAAACTCATTTTAACTGGAAACGGGGCATTCCAGCTTAGTCCTCAGGGGTGACAATGCATGTGCATTTTGATTCTGAATCGACGATAATAGACTAATATTGTTAATAATAAGTGTTAATTAGATATGAAATAATTGCTATTTTTAACCCCGATAAAAAGATTTTTAACATGTGTACATGTGGCATCGTAGCCTCCAAACCCATGAACAGATTTAAGTTTAGTTTTTTTGTTTGAAAGATGACTTAATCGAGAGTGCTCTTAACTACGATTCAAGAAAATCTTTTCAGCCGTATTAAGATCATCAGCTCTTTTAGGTTTAGTGGCTTTTAATTTTTTTACTTCGGATTATCATAGCGGCATTTTGTATAGAATAAAGGTGACAAACGAGCACACATTTCACCTGACGGTAAGTGGATGCTGTGGCCCATAGACATCTCTATTTACCCTCGATTAAGAATCAAAATGCAGATGTGTTGTCACCCCTGAGGATTTAGATGGAATGCCTCGTTTCCAGAAATCAGAAATTTTTATTTGCTTTAAACATGGTAGTGCAAAGATGTTAACATAGTGGTATGTCCTCATGTTTGACTTATAATTGTCATGCAAATTTAAAAGTAGTTACATTTTAGTCTACTTAGAGCTAAAAATAAGTTAATAGACTAAACAGACAACTAATGGTAAACATGAGTCACAGGCAGAACATTACATGTCATCATTTATAAATCGTATAATATTTTATGTCAAATTATTCAAGTCATAAAATAAAGTAAACACAGAAAAGCTACAAACAATTAAAATCTAAAAACCTCTTGGCCATCTAAGTATTCCTGGACTGAATAAAGGCACCTAGTGAAAAGCCAGGAATGTAACTTTCTTTTTAACAATTTTAATGGCAAAGCTTTAAAACTTGGATGAAGCTTATTATAAATTTTAATAGCCATACAATAAAGCTTCCAGTAAAAAAGGATTTCCGGATCTCTACACTCACCATACGAAACAGCGGCATTACGCTGCTATTTTATGCTGGTATTCCGTGAGATCGTGGTCCTACCCCGGTCCAGCCGACCCATTCGTGTTACAACCATAATATAGCTGCAGCGTGGCTCTACCACGTAGAAAACATTAAACATTATTATGACGATATTAATCTAACAAAATTGTATTATATAAGAAAAATCGGGACAATCTTCTGCTCGCCATAGGAATAAACGTAGTAACCCGAATGATTGAATTATCTAACCGATCAGTCATTCGCATCGTTTTTGTATATTGAAACAATGTACTGATATTAATATTGTTACTAAATTACATAAATACAGTACAATAAAATATAATAAGCTAAACTAAAAATATTATCATGAAGTCCTACTCCCGTGGTATGGTGTCAAGAACGCTGGCTTCATTTCCTCGCTGAATACTTAGCCTTTTGGCAAGAAAATCACCAATCCTCTTACCATGAGCAGCGACAAGTAGTAACGGACGCGGTTATTTTAGGAACTTCACCGCGTGTAGACCACAATTGATAAAATCTCTTTTATTCTATCGACGTAAACATTTATAGCTCTATTTTTATAACACGGGTCAAATATCATCGCGTTATATATATCCTAATAGGAGCGGTGACCTGTCAATTTCATCAGTGTACTTGTGGTAGGGCATCGACAAGTTTGGGGGCCATAAATTTTCATGTGAAGTTGCTGGTAGATCGTTCCTTCACGGTTCTTTGAACTATGTTATTGAAACAGCTCTTGTCTCTATATATGTTTCTTTGGTTTTAGAGTCTCAAATTAATGGTAAAAAATGAGTTGCGAACCCGAACAGACCCCAGGAGCTGCACTCGTTCACTAGTATGACGCATGTGGCATTCATCTCCCTCCTCGACTATTTAAAGGGGAAGTGGACGACACGTCACTCGACGCCACCGTAGCAGCCATTTTAAAATAAGTAGCCTCTTTTTATATAATAATGGTGTAAACGAGCTCGCAGTCCACCTGACGATAAGCGGATGTTATGGCCCATAGAAATTTACACTTACCCTCGATTAAATACAACAATGCATATGCGTTGTCACCGCTGACAACTGAAATGGAATGCCTCATTTCCAGTGAGAAGGGTCTCCGGTTCTCTACACTCACCTTAAGAAACAGCAACATTAAGCTGGTATTTTACGCTGGTATTCTGTGAAGCGTGTTGCTTCCCCAGTCGAGTCCACTCATTCGTGTGACAACCATAATACATAATGCAGCGTGGATCTACAATGTCCACTGTAGAACATAGCGCTGCTCATAAATCGAATATTTGCAGTCAGAGACTAATATTAAAAACATCCTAATTTCAATAGAGAAGATAGAACGCTGCTACCATTTTCTTGCGACTCTACAA